CACAACTGTTTCCACAAAAGTGAATGTAACTTTTTTCTTAGACACCCTTCACAATGCAGCTGAGAATTCCTGCTCCCCCGTAGATGGGGTGTATGTGGAACTAACTCGGTCAGGTGCCTCAGCATAGAGAAATGGGCAATATTTACATAAATGGATTGCAATGCGGTTTCGGAAAAAGGTATAAAGATATTTCCTAAACTTTTCACCAGCGAAGGCATAGATCACGGGGTTGATACAACAGTGGATCATTGCAATCGCTTCTGTCACTTGGATTGCTATCTCCAGCTGACTGCTGCCCTCACAGGTATTTAGGGAAAATGAATCTTGAAACGTGTATATGAGAATAATGATGTTATATGGTGCCCAGAAAAGAAAATAAACAATCATTATGATAAAAATAAGCCTGACTGCCTTATGTTTTTTCTCATTCCTACATCTCAGTAATGTTTTTATAATCTCGGCATAGCAAAAGATCATAATGACCAGTGGAACGACAAGTCCCAGGATGTTCATCTTTAAAGTCTGGAATTGCTTCCATTTACTTTCCTGTCCCAATGGATAATGAGGGCTACATGTAAAGTGAGATGACTCTCTCTGAGCTTTGTGAAATATAAACCCTGGAAGAGAGGCTAATATTGCAACAACCCAAGTGACAACACTTGTGAGGATGCCATAGGTAACTGTCCTAGCCTTTAAAGCAAACACTGCATGGACAATGGCCAGATATCTATCTATTGTCAAAAGTATTATGAAAAACATTCCACTATAGAAGCCAGCATAATAGACCCCTGAAAGAATTTTACACATTGCATTTCCAAAATCCCATTCATGTGCTACGTAGTAAGCCCAAAATGGCAGGGAAAGAATAAAAAGCAAATCGGAAATTGCCAGATTCAGCAGATAGATGTCAGTCATGCTTCTCAGCTTCTTGTATTTTATCAGGATCAGCACAACTAGCGCATTGCCCAGCAGGCCAAATATCAGCACCAAAGAATAAAGTGGTGGCAGAAACAGGGATGCAAATTTTTTGACATCAGCTTTTTGGCATGGTTCTGAGCCAGTATAATAATCATAGGTTGTCATGTCAGTTTCTTCATCCATCTTGTTCTGTCCTGGATGAAGAAAAAGATGGTAGAAACTAAAGAGATGGACTAAAACTCAGACAAAGATTGGAATTTTACCACAAACAATAATTTTGGTGGCTTGTGGTGACCCCCATATTTCAGCTGCATAACACTTCCTATTATAAAAGATTATTGCAATCTTTTTTTTTTTTTTTTTTTTTGAGAAGCTCTGAGATTGCCATTATTTGCACTAGGCCTTTGAAATGCAGTGGGGAGAAAGCCTTAGGGCTAGAGAAGTGTCTTTTCTTTTTCCCCATGATATTCTGTTTAGGGTTTGCTGTGTTATGACATAAAAATACAAAAGTGTCACAGCCCACTGTTACTGAAAATTACGTACTTTCTCATGTTTACAATATAATTATAAAATAAATCAATTGGAATATAAATATTGTACTTATTTTTCAGTGTATAGTATATAGAGCAGAATAAACAAGTCATTGTCTGTATGAAATTTCAATTTGTACTTACTTCGCTAGTGCATTTTATGTAGCCTGTTGTGAAACTAGGCAAATATCTAGATAAGCTGATGTACCCTCTCGAAGACCTCTGCATCTCCCCAGGGGAACACATACACCTGGTTAAGAACAACTGTCCTAAAGCACCAAGCAGCAGCAGCCACTGCACTGGTAGTGCGTAGGAGCTGTTAGAACAGCTGTGGTGCAGCCGGAGAGAGAGTCAGGTCGGCTACCCACTAACCACCCACCCAGACCTAGCATGTGGCCACAGCAACCTGTTCCCCCCAGCTTCCACCTGGAAGAACTACATGGGACAGAAATTCCCCTACCTCTTGGGAGGATGTGGGCAAAGATGCAGTCCAGGATCCCCTGAGCCACTCTCTAGATGCAGGTGTTCACATACACATGTGTTGTGCCCTCAGATGATAGCTTTCTCCTGCTGGTAGTTATTGTAGCTCAAATGGTAGATAACTGTATGCCTATGCCAAAGTTTAAGAATTCAAACCCTGCTGAATACACATGAAAGAAGGATTATTAGAGTTGTACATAACTGAATTTGTTTTATCTGTTTCCTTCTAAAATGAAAAATACATAAAACACTAAGTTAATAGAAAATTATATAGGTTGCAAAGTCAAGTACTCAAAAGTTAGGAAATGCCAGATTTATTGTTGCCTTTGGCACCTTAATTCTGTCCACTAATGCACATACATTGTGTTACAGTATTTAATTACATGATCCCCATGCATTTTCCCCACAGGACCTTTTCCACAGTCAGTGCACAAGATGGATGCACAAGGGGGCAAAATTAAAGTTGCATAGGCAACCATAATGCAGATGTTTCCTATATTTTGATTTTGCAACCTAAATAACATTCTTTTAGCCTGGTTCGTATGTAAACAACATTTGTAGGAAGAGACATTCAGTTTGGTCGGTCTCATCTTTTTATTTCCTTGACAGTAAATAATACATGATTATACCTGTATCATATAAATATGTAAAATATAATGTTGACCAGACTTATGAAAATACTCTGACTTAGTTGAAAACCTTAAATATTGCTGATTGATGACTGCAAGTCTACAGATGCATGAACTATACACGCTTGTGGGCCAGATCTTTAGGTGGTGAAAGTTCACCTAACTTCATTGAAGTCAATGGAGCTATACTAATTTATGTCAACTGAGGATCTGGCCCTTAATGTACAGTATTATACGTTATTTTTATCTAGATGGAGATATCTTGCAGTAAAGGGTTAAAATTATTACTGGCCCATTCAGAAGCAAGCTGATCTTAAAAAGCAGATAATTGAGAGAGCTGATCAGAATTTAAGGTGTCATTGTCTTTAAGAGAAAGGGTTGCTTTTCAATGAAATAGTTGCCTTTTTTTAGTTGCTGTGTCTCAGGGACTCTTGGTGCCAACTGGCAGAGGGCACAGGGGATACTCAGTTTTCAAGGGATCCCCTGCATCAGATATATGCATAATAATTCCCCCAACAATCAGTGGCACTGGAACACTTTTAATAGTGGGGGTGCTGAAAGCAGTTTTTACTTTTTACCTCATGCCCCCCCTTACGCCAGTGCATGTCCCTCCCACCCCCCCAGAGCTGGGGCCAGGAGCAGAGCTGTGTCTCTGGGAGAGGGGGGAACTCAGATGGGGTAAGGAGGCCAAGGCTGGGGCCATAACTGGGGATGGGCGCGAGGCCAGGAGCGGAGCCCTGGGAGCAGAGCCCTGGGAGCAGGGGGGTCCGGCACGGGGCTGGGAGTGGGGCCCTGGGAACGGGACGCAGGGCCAGGATGGGACCCTGGGCACGGGTCCAGTGGCTGGGGAGAGAGGTGCAGGGCCGGCGCCCCAGAGCAGAGCTCCAGTGCACAGCTGGGAGTGGGGCCCTGGGTGCAGGGCCAGGCATGGAGCCCCAGGTGTGGGTATCACAAGCCCAAGGGCATGGGGCCAGCAGCCTGGGAGCAGGTCCCATGGCCGGGACCTGAGTCCTGAGTGCAGGGCCAGCGAGCGGGGCACTGGGTGTGGGGCCAGGAGGAGGACACCTGGCATGGAGCCCTAGGCATGGGGCCAGCAGCTGGGGACTGGGGCTGGCGGCTGGAACCCCGCATAAAACCAGCACCCCTACATCCCTAGTTTCTGTGCCTATACCGGCATGTGAGGTCTCTACTGAGAGCCAGTAGCCCACTGGTCATCATAATAATTGCAAAATGTATGTACAGATAATATTTAAGAACATTATGTAACTATACTAAAATTCTTAAGGATTTGGTATTAGGGATTAGGATTTGGGATTAGGGTGGGTCACCAGGAGGTGACATACCTCAGGAATATTCCTTTCAATCAGGAGGTAACAGATGCTTATTTCTCTATTTGGTCATGGGTGTACTGAGCATTGTAGGCCTCTCAACAGATGCCTGTTGGCCTACTGAGGCAAATGCTAGTCAAGAGATTGTGAAATCTTCAAGAGAGAAAATGTACAGGAAGAAATAAATAGCAGCAGGGGATCATCTGTATGAGAAAAGACAATGGATTGGTAGGATACATCTGGAGATGCAGACATACACTGGAATCTTTCCCCGAGGAGGCAAGATGACAGCATGACTTGTCTCATGAATGGACAATCACAGTCAAGCCTGGCTGTAAAAGACTGGAAGGACTTTGGGTGAGCATTGCTGATAAGACAGGAGAGTATCTAGATATGTAAGTCTAGGTTCTAGAATGCGTGTTGTGATTTTATTTTATTTGTAACCATGTGTTTCCAAAACTTCCACTTGCTATTATTTGACTCTCTATACTTTGTTAAATAAACTTTTACGTGTTTTCACGTCTCTAAGTGCTGTATGTTCAATGGAGTGGTGATGAGAGGTGTAACTGGTAAGCTGGAGTGATTGTTTTTTTGGAAACGGCAAATCTGTGAGTGTCCAGTGGAACAGTGATAAACACTCCAGGGAGATGCTTGGAGGGCTCAGGGGTTGGAGTATGCCAGTCACTAACCTGGAGTGAGAGAGAAGAGCCTGCATAAGGCTAGAGGGGAGTGCTTGTGTTGTCCGTGGCCAATGGAGTGAGGAACTGACCAATGGCAGGCACAGAAAAGCCTTCCTTATGCCTGGGGAAGTGCCTCACGACCCTGGGTACCCCGGGAAGTGTTACAGTTCCTTCATATCAGTTTTCTTTTTTGTATTGTCAAATAACTATAGACATAGGGGCACCAACCCAATATGCCCCATCTGCATAATTCCCTTAAACACATGGTTGAAGTATGGCCAAGTGTAAGAATAGTAACAAACTATGTGGCGTTTGAAGTGCTGGGAGCAGAGTTAACAGCAGGGAGTTAGGCTATGTACAATTTACAGCTTAAGTTGGTATAAGTTATGTTGCACAGGCTTTGAATGATCCATCCCCCTCAGTGATGTAAGTTACACCAACCTAAGCACCAGAGTGGACAGCTTCTCCCACCGACACAGCGACCGCTGCTCGGGAGGGCTTGAGTAATTAAGTCAATGGGAGAGCTTCCTCCCATTGGTTTAGAGCAGGGGTTCTCAACCTTTTTCTTTCCAATGCTTCCCAAACACGCTATAAAAATTCCATGGTCCACCTGTGCCACAATAACTAGTTTTCTGCATATAAAAGCCAGGGTGGTGTTAGGGGGTAGCAAGCAGAACAATTGCCTGGGGCCTCACACCACAGGGACCCCCATGAAGCTACATTGCTCAGGCTTCAGCTTCAACCCTGGGTGACAGGGCTCAGGGACCTGGGCTACAGCCCCAGGCAGTGGGACTTCAGCTTTCTGCCCTGGGCCCCAGCAAGTCTAATGCTGGCCCTGCTTGGAGGCCCCCCTGAAACTGCTTGAGGCCCCAAGGGGACCCCAGACCCCTGATTGAGAACTAGTGGTTTAGAGCATCTGCACTAGCAGTGCTACAGTGATGCAGCTGCTCTGGTGCAAGCTCTGTAGTGTAGCCATTGCCTTAGAACAGTGGTTTTCAAACGTTTTTTCTGGGGATCCAGTTGAAGAAAATTGTTGATGCCTGCGACCCAACGGAGCTGGGGATAAGGGGCTTGGGGTTTGGGTGGGGCTCAGAGCTCGGGCAGGGAGTTGGGGTGCAGGGGTGAGGGGTGGGGCTGGGAATGAGGGGTTCAGGGTGTGGGAGGGGGCTCAGGGCTGGGGCAGAGAGTTGGGGTGTGGGAGGAGGTCAGGGCTCTGGGCTGGGACTGGGGAAGAGGGGTTTGGGGTGCAGGAGGGGCTCTGGGTTGGGGGGACTCAGGGCTGGGGCAGGGCTTGGGGTGCAGGAGGGGGTCAGGGCTCTGGGCTGGGGCTGGGGAAGAGGAGTTTGGGGTGCAGGAGGGGCTCTGGGTTGGGGGGCTCAGGGCTGGGAGTTGGGATGCAGGAGGGGGTCAGGGCTCTGGGCTGGGGGTGCAGGCTCTGGGGTGGGGCCGGGGATGAGGTGTTTGGGGTGCAGGAAGGAGTTCCAGGTTTGGGGGGACTCAGGGCTGGAGCAGGGGATTGGGGCATGGGGTTGGGGTGCAGACTTACCTCCGGTGGCTCCCAGTCAGTGGCGCAGCTGGGGTGCACCGTGGACCACGCTGCGCCCTGGAAGCGGCCAGCACCGGTCTGACTCTTAGGCGGAGGCGCGTTGCACTGCCCCCCCAGTTCCCATTGGCCAGTTGCTGGCCAATGGGCGCGCGGAGCCAGTGCTCGGAGCAGGGGCAGCGCGCGGAGCCCTGTGGCCCCCCTGCCTAGAAGCCGGACCCTGGTAACTTCCAGGGCACAGCATGGTGTCGGAAAAGGTAGGCACTAGCCTGCCTTAGCTGGGCAGCACCACCGACAGGACTTTTAACATCCCAGTCGGTGATGCTGACCAGAGCAAGGCGACCCAGTGCCTTACATGACGTGACCCAGTCGTGGGTCGTGGCCCACGGATTGAAAAACACTGCCTCAGAAAAGATTTTGCAAGGAAAGTACTTGCAGCAGCTAAGAGGACATGGACTTTTGTTCAAGGAAACACAACCCTTTGCCCTCTATGGTTGAACTATGCTGCAATAGAATCTGCATAAGGATCTTGCTAGTCTGCAGGAACTCTCATCCTGACCCTTTAGGATCATAGAGATAGGGACACGGGCCTATGGATGGCCATTAAGAAAGGTAGCATCATGCACAATGAGGAAAAAATTATTTTCTTTTTGGACATTAGCCCCCTTTAACCTATTTTGTCTCTTTGTTTATCTGACTGGACCATTCTGCTTTTATTAAGACCTTGTCAAACTACTTGTGGAAAGTTATCATAATCACATGCATAGCAATACATTTGAGTTCTATTGAAAACTAAATAGGTGAAAATTTCAAAAGTTACTAATGATTTTGGGTGCTTCAATTTTTGTATGTCAAATCTGAGACACCTTTAAAGATGCCTGATTTTCAGAAAGTTCTACGCATTCTCCCCATGAGACAGTTGTTCCACAGCTGTGTTGACTCTACAGTCATTGTGAAAGTAAAAGTGCGGTTTTGTTGGTATAGTAAGTTGTTATGGCTCAGATACATTGGTAGCAAATGAGTTTAAAAGATCGTATTTTTATATAGTACTTTTAACGGTACTTTAAGAAAAGAAGCTTCTCCAAAAAGTAGCCACTAACCTTTTCCCTCCATAGCTTATTTTTTCTATTTGGTTTGATTTGCCTGCACAGTCACTTGCAGAATTGGGGCCGTTCTTTGTATCCATGGTCTGAACAACTTAAGAAATTGAATTAGCTTCAAGAACTCCAGTAAGGAGAACAAGCCATTCCCAATGTGTCTTCTGCTCATGACCAACATGACTCTCCTTAACCAGGTACAACTATCACCAAGGAGAGAGGGGTTTAGATAAGTTGCTGGTGTTTAGGGAATAAAATGGCAGTCCTGCTCAGCAGAATGGAGCATTTCAAAAGCAGGTGTTGTGCAGGGCCGGTACAACCATTTAGGTGACCTAGGCGGTTGCCTAGGGCGCTAGGATTTGGGGGGCGCCATTCTCTTCGGCAGCGACCATGGCCGCCAGATCTTCGGCCACCCAGGTCGCTGCCGGCATTTAGGTGGAGGGAGCTGGGGCAGTGGAGCGCGGGGAGGGCCGCCTGCAGC